TGAAGATAAGATGAGGTCATATAGAGAAGAAAATATTTGAAAGGTTTAAAATTATAAATGTTAATCTTTTGGTTATTAGTGATATATAAGTAATAACTTGAAACTTTATTTTTGAATAACCTAGAATTCACATATCTTGGGATATTGCTGGTCTTTGATTGGTTCAGAAGAAACATTTCTTATTTCCTTGAAGAACCATAGAATCATTTCACAAGTACCATTTCTCTGCAAAAACAGTTTTCTTAGTGAATTTTAACACCTACATAGAGCACTGTGGTCAGTTTCTACTCAGCTAACACTATTTGGGCAGTAGAGTGGTCTTGGGGGTCACTGTGTGAGGACACCTTGTGTGTACATGCTTGGAAAGGATGATGTCCCCACTGGTATCAGAAATGACTGAGATTTGCCCTCAGAAGGAAACAAATGGGAAGTGATCCACGTTGTTCACACAGCCATTCTTCTGCCTACACAGCATGGTGCTTCCATGGGGTCATGCCTCTGTTTGTAAAAGGATCAAAGAGTAGAAGCAGCAGAAGTCAAACAATCAGGCAGAGAAAGGAGAAGCCAGTGTGGAAAGACCAAGAGAGCACTGTGGTCATGGGAGGGAGACTGCCCAGAGGGCTCTGAGAGCGGGAAGTTACAGGCTTAACAGCGGGGTTTCTGGACTTACATTTTCCCTCTCTCCTTCTGGGTATGTATGAGCTTGGGAAATCACTTCCTGTTTGCTTGCTTCTTATCTTCTGAAACCATCTTTGAGAAGATAGGAAATAGGGAGAACAAGAAGAGAAACGAGGCTCCGCTGCCCAGTGTACTGGGCCAACCTCCAAGCCTCCCACTGTGTTTCCCTGTGTGTGGGCTTTCTACACACTTTCCATGAGGCTGCTGGCCCTCTACGTCTCCATTGCTGTAGAGGCCATTCTCTGTACACGGAGGAAACCATTTCTGTCAGCCTAGTCAGGTTGGGTCAGGGTGCAGTCTGGCACTTGAAAGTTGTTTCAGGACAAAAACTCCTAAGTTCCCCCAAATTATGCCAACCGGAACACCCAGAACTTGGAAAGAAAGAAACAGAGCACAACTGCAATTCAGTTTTAAGTTTGAAAGAAATATGAGACAGAGGGAGAAGGCCAAGTCATAAAATGTAAGGGACTCCCAGATGTAAGGAATCTATACGCCTGGGCTTAAACGAAGCCTCTGCTAGAATCTTAACCTTCCTGTGCCATATTTTTCTAATTCGGACAAGGAGATAATATGTGAAGTTGTGGTTTTTGGAGGAAGCTTAAAAGAAATTACATATCTAAAATATTGACCATACTGCTTGACACGCACTAACAAATTCAGCATTATAAAGGCCAAAAGTGTATTATTTCTTATTGTGCTGAATCTAGATTGGCTGTTACTATAACTTGCAAATCAAGAGCAACTAATTACAAGTGTTATTTTTTCCCTTCAAAATCTTTTAGGCTTTCCTTTAAAATTTCCAAGTAAAGATCTTTTACTTGCTCAGGAAGAAATCTTAATAGAATATTTCAGTTTTGAAGTGGCTTTAAGGTTCTTTTTATTTTTAGCTATGTGTATGAGGGTGTTGGTGTGTGAGTATGTGTACATGAGTCCAGGTTCCTTCAGAAGCTGTTGGATCCCCTGCAGCTAGAATTACTGGCAGTTGTGAACCACCTGATGTGGGTGTTAAAAGCAAGACTCTGGTTCTCTGCAAGAACAGTACACACTCTTAACTACTGATCCATCTCTCCAACTCCTTTTGGTTACTTTATCATCTCACATCATGATATTGTCAGAGGTGTTTATTTTTCTTTGTAATGGAGATGGTAAATTACCAAAATAAGCTCACAAGCTAAAAGCTCCCATCCTTCCTCCAAAACACAAGTCCATGTAAAACTAATATCAGAGTAATCATAATGAGAAATATCTTGGCTATGAACATATTGGAAAGTATAGAATTTATCATTTAATATTTATTTTGGTTATCCACATAAAGCAAGTTACTGCTTATGATTGCAAAATATGCAGTTTCATAAGGATGGCTATATCATCTCAGAATACAAATATTATCTAAGTTTGATGACAGGAGAAGAGGAACAATGAAGCACATGCATTACATGCAGCATATTACAAGTAGTGTCTGTGCATCAGGCTCATATTAATCCATTTATTTCCTGTGGCACTGCCAAGGGTGAGAGGCACGAGATGCTCCAGTGCAGGAGGCAGACAGGAGGGTCTAGGTTACGGCTGGCAGTAGGGAATGCTTGGTTAAACATTTAAGGAAATATAGGCCACAAAGAACTGGAAGCTAGGGGAAATGGGATGTTGGTCCACTGTGGCAGGGACTCATCTTTTCCCCAGCATAGGGTGTAACCCAGCAGGCCCTCCATGGCCGGCCCCATGATCTACTTCTACTTCTCAGTCAAGTCTTCTCTTCTTGAGAGAGGCCATGGGAGCAGCTTTGCAGAAAAGGGTAGCCACTGTTTAAGAGAGAAGGACTTTAGAAAGGAGGGCTCTGCCCTACCTAGAGAGCAGGTTACAGTGACTGCCCATGTAGTGCAAACTTGGGCTGGGCCCTCTTGTCAGGACCACTAGGCAGCTTACTAAATAAGACAAAGATCCCTTCAGCCCCACAGGACACATTTCAGGTATGACCTAGTGTTGGTCAGTTTCTAGAATTTTGTATTCCTTTAAGAGAAGCTTAAAATGCAGTACAAAGTGACTGCTTGTGTTTTCAGTGCAATGTGTCTAATATATGACCAGCCAGCCACTTTGGCCTTATTTTAAGAAGATACAAAATTCTTATCAATCTTTGAAGGAAATATGTCTTGATAATCTTTTATCAAGAAATACTGTGTGTGGGGGGGACTGAACTCAGGGCTAAGCAAACACAATTGAGCTGCATCCACAACACACACTCACACACTTGCTCCCCCCCGCCCCCAGTGCAAGTGTTTTCAGGCAGTGAAACAGCATTCACAGTCAAATGGAGGTGGGGTGTAAGGCTAACTCCACAAGTTACTAGTGGCAAAATGGGGCAGTTCTCTTTACCTCTTAATTCCTCTGTTTCCAATCCCTCTGGCAAGGATCAAAGGCTAAGAGAGGTGTCTATAAAGAGCTCAAGTGAGGCTGTGGCAGTGGTCCACAGCTATAATTCCATCACTCAGAGGCTGAGGCAGGAGGGATCTTGAGTTTGAGGCCATGGAGAGCTACATAGATTAAAAAAAAAAAAAAACGTTCAGCAGAGTACTACCCCAAAGTGGTTTCTGGAATCCTCATGGCTAATTTCATTTCTTACCCAGAGACCGCATACACGATTTCTTTCTCCAGTCTTCTGCACTTTTCCCCTTTGTGAATAATGTGCTTTGACAATCTCCAACCTCTGAAAAAACGTTCATTAAAAAAAAATTCTAGTCCAAATGATACCTCTCCTCAGGATTTCTGCTCAGTTCCTCCATTGCAGTCGGCCCCTTCCCTCTGTGTTGGGACATAGCTCTTTCCTAACACAGATACAACGGGACGATAATGATAATGATGCCCTCCGATGTGTCCTGCCCACTAAGCACAGAGAGATACAGTCATTTTTACATTCTTGGCACATGACAGTCAATTTGGATACATATATATCCACATATTTCCATATATATGAATTATGTGGCTACCAGGCATTCATGTATGGAAGACTGGGCATCTTAAAAGGAGGCAGAGGGCTTAAGGGGACAGTGTAAAGCTCTAAGGTCCCTTCAACCCCCAGCTCAGCCTGGCCTAGGCCCTGTGCAAGGGACCCTGCCTGCCCCAAGTCCGCCCAGGTGTCTTCATTTGGGGGCACAGTTCCGAAGGGCACCAGCAGGGGGCGGCGTTGTCACGCAGCTGGATATACGTGGGCGACATACCCCCACCCCCGCACCCCATGCCTCAACCCCAAGCAGCGCAGGTGGGTGTCTATAGCAAGGCTGTCTGAGTTCAGAGGCTGGGCTGATGGGGTTGCAGAGGGTCTGGGAGGAGGGCATTGGACCCAAGATCCACCTCTACCTCCACCTAGGTCGCTGCAGCACCTCCTTGGAGTACTGCGCAGCCATACTTAGGACAGCAGCAGCGGGCGGTGGAAACGGGGAGCTTTCTAGCAAACTCCTTGGTGCGAGTAGGCGCGGAAGTAACGTTTCCAACCTTAAGTGATACCCAGCCACCGGAGCTGAGGGGAGAAATTCCACGTCCTTTAAACCTGCTCAGTGTCTGGTAGGAAGCCAGATCCCAGCCGCCGACACTTTCGTGCACTTCAGAGGCTGCTAGGAAGGCGCTTCCCTTGCAGCGTCTGCACCGTGGGACGCCCACGCCGCTGTCGCGCGCTCTCCAGCTCGCCCTCCCCGCGCCGGGTGTGGACCGAGTGGCGCGCCCAGGCCCCGCGCTCCCCGCGGCTCCGCTGGTGCGCAGCGGTCAGAGGTGTCCTCGCGCGGGCCCCGACTTCGCCAGCGCTTCCCAACGTTGGTGTCGAGAATCGAAACTCAGTTCCCAGCAAGTACCCCCCCCCTCCCGCACGGAGACGGATGCGCGTGGCCCGGGGTCCTCCGTGGCGTCCGCGGTGTAGCCACACGCATGGACAGTGGTGAAGGAAGCCCCCGGAACCCCGCGTTACGCAGATGTGACGCGCTGCGCCCGGCCAGAATGCCCGGCTGGGGAAGTTCGTGCGGTTGCGCGATCTTAGCCCGGGTCCAGTGTGAATGGCCGTCTGTCGCAGCTGGGGTGACTGAAGTGTCCCCTCTTGGGGATGTGTGCGCGGATGTGCAGAAGGGTTTATACTGCACGCCCCCGCGCTGCCCCGTGCTCCGTGCCAGGGGCCGCGCACCCCGGCCTGCAGCCCGCCGCTCTGAGCTCCCCACACCAGCCGGCCCGGGCAGCGCGGGGGCGGGGCCTATGCAAATGAGAGGGTGTGGCGAGCTCTCGGCGCCCGGGCCCCGGAAGAAGGTATAAAAAAAGTACTGAAGACCTTTCCCCCACACAACTGCTAAAGCTCCTGAGAGCGAGTGCACGCGGCGGCATCGGGAGCCGCCACCTCTGGGACCACCGCAGCTGGGGGGCGGGCGAGCAGGGCCGGAGCGCCGGGGCGGCGGGGTCGGTACCCCACAGTCGAGGCCGGGAGCGCACCCGCAGCTCCCCCATAGTGGCCGCCCGCGGTCCTCGCTCGCCTGCGCTCCTAGAAGGGGCGGCCGCCTCCAGGTGACACAGACGGGACTCTCGCTTGCGCTTTCCAGATGCATCAGAGATACTTTTGGTGCGGGGCTGCTGTGCGGGGCGCGGCTGCGGGTTCCGGGGAGGAGGGCGACTTCGGGGAGCCCCAAGCCGGTAGCGGCCGGGAAGGGGGCGCGCTGGTCCCTTGTCCCCGCGCCGCCGCGCCTGCTTCCGCTCCCCTCAACCCGCTCTTTTCTCCTAGGACTGACCGAGGCCAAGCGGCGTTCGGCGGGCACTATATGGCCGAAGGCGAAGGGTACTTTGCCATGGCCGAGGACGAGCTGGCCGGCGGCCCCTACGTCCCCCTAGGCGGCGACTTCGGCGGCGGTGACTTCGGAGGCGGCGGCAGCCTCGGCGGCCACTGCTTGGACTATTGCGAGAACCCCACTGCGCACTGCAACGTGCTGAACTGGGAGCAAGTGCAGCGGCTGGACGGCATCCTGAGCGAGACCATCCCGATCCACGGGCGCGGCAACTTCCCCACGCTCGAGCTGCAGCCGAGCCTGATCGTGAAGGTGGTGCGACGGCGCCTGGCGGAGAAGAGCATCGGCGTCCGCGACGTGCGCCTCAACGGCTCGGCCGCCAGCCACGTCCTGCACCAGGACAGCGGCCTGGGCTACAAGGACCTGGATCTCATCTTCTGCGCCGACCTGCGCGGGGAAGAGGAGTTTCAGACTGTGAAGGACGTAGTGCTGGACTGCCTGTTGGACTTCTTACCGGAAGGGGTGAACAAGGAGAAGATCACGCCGCTCACACTCAAGGTAAAGCGGCTTGGAGATGGGCTTAAGCGGGCACTGACTGCGGTCAGGCTGGGGTGCGGGGGCGAGGGCGAGCCCCGCTTGCACTGAGTGCGGCTGCTGTGGACGCCTGTTTATGCTTGGCTTCTTCTAAACGGGTGAACTAAGGTGCGTGGAAGATGTTGAGTGTTTTGGTTTTACTGCCGCAACTCGTGTGTTCGTCCTTTGCCCTCCCGCGCCTTTCTCCATATGGCTTTAACTCTTGACTTTCCTTCCTGGACTCCTATCCAGAGTGACTGTGATAGGTGGAAGAATGAAATGATGTAAATAATTTTTTTGAGTCATCTTATGATCTAGTCTTTGGGAAAATAGCATCGCAAAGCAGAACTGAGCCAATTTTTTTTTTTTTAATTGTATTGGAAACTCTGAATAGCTTTCGACTCTGGATTCAGCTGACTCCAGCCTTTAAGATAGTTCACATGTTGAGGCTTTAGGAGTACACCCTTCCTCGCTGGTTCAGGTCGCATTTTGTTTAATTAAAGTTCTCTGAAGGCAATTTAGCTCCCATTCCGCTGTAATGTACAGTGTCACTGGAGTGGCACCTTGGATACTGATAACATTGACTGCCTAAGGGAGAGGAGAACTGGGTGGCTGGGGACAAGGGTGAGAGACGGACTAACATCACTGCCTGCCCTTCCGTGTATGAATGCGCTGTGGGTACTGTGTGGATATTGTGCCTATTAGACCATCTTCAAAAAATAACATTTGAAGTCAGACACGACAGCAGAACCTCCTAGTACTCCACTGCGTCTGCCAGAAGCCTCAAACTATTACTTCTAGTCTCTTTCCCAGACGGTAAAACTACTCGTTAAATATATTTTTCCCCCTTTTTCAGAAGACTGTTTAAGCTTGTACATAGTGTTTTGCCGAAACTTGACAAACAGGAAAGACCTAAATAATTCTCATGGGGAAAAGGTGTTTAATATTTCTTTTTCTCCTCCAGTTTTGCTCATCTTCTTGTTTTATCTTTTAAATTGTAGGAAGCTTATGTGCAGAAAATGGTTAAAGTGTGCAATGACTCTGACCGGTGGAGTCTTATATCCCTGTCAAACAACAGTGGCAAAAATGTGGAACTGAAATTTGTGGATTCTCTTCGGAGGCAGTTCGAATTCAGTGTAGATTCTTTTCAAATCAAATTAGACTCTCTTCTCCTCTTCTATGAATGTTCAGAGAACCCAATGACTGAAACATTTCACCCAACAATAATTGGTGAGAGTGTCTATGGTGATTTCCACGAAGCCTTTGATCACCTTTGCAACAAGATCATTGCTACCAGGAACCCGGAGGAAATCCGAGGGGGTGGCCTGCTTAAGTACTGCAACCTCCTGGTGAGGGGCTTTAGGCCCGCCTCTGATGAGATCAAGACCCTGCAGAGGTACATGTGTTCCAGGTTTTTTATCGACTTCTCAGACATTGGAGAGCAGCAGAGAAAACTGGAATCCTACTTACAGAACCACTTCGTGGGGCTGGAGGACCACAAGTATGACTATCTCATGACCCTTCATGGAGTAGTAAATGAGAGTACAGTGTGCCTGATGGGACATGAAAGGAGACAGACTTTAAACCTCATCACCATGCTGGCCATCCGGGTGCTGGCTGACCAAAATGTCATCCCTAATGTGGCTAATGTCACTTGCTATTACCAGCCGGCCCCCTATGTAGCAGATGCTAATTTTAGCAATTACTACATTGCACAAGTTCAGCCAGTATTCACATGCCAGCAGCAGACATACTCCACTTGGTTACCCTGCAATTAAGAATCATTTTAAAATGTCCTCTGGGGAAGCCATTTCAGACATGATAGGGAAAATAAAAACAAAACAAAACAAAAGAAAAACAAAAGGATGAGTGACCCAGCCCTAATCAGGGATGTGTTTTATTCAGTGGCAATATGCTCCAGATTTTAAGCTTGGCAGTGCTTATGGATCTTTCCATTGGTAAGGGAGCATGATCTCAACTGATCAGCTTCCTTACCCCCCATTCTTCTATCTGATTGGATTCTATCTTGAAACAAAAGAGGCCTGTTATTAAAAGCAACCAGGTTTTTCTGAGATAACAAGGGAATTGAAAAAAAAAATGCTTGATGACAATATGGGTTTGTGACAACTGCCCCATAGCTTTGCCACAGAGGAGGGGATTGGTAGGAAAACTTTTAAGACGGCATTTAATACAGAGGAGAAAAGATCCTACAGAGTTGTTCAGTCCAGGAGCAGCACCAGCTCAGTAACACCGTGGGAAGCAGCGCCCTCACTGGGGTTACTGTCTGTGCTTGCAGCCAGTGCTTTCTGTGGAATGATCCTGTCACAGCAAGGGCTGGCTCCACAGGAACAGTAGTAGGTTGGTGCCGTTCTCATAACAGACAGCAGAACCTACGATGACACACTTCATTAATTCCAGCTGCGCGCATAGCTCGCATTTTTAAAATGTGAAAACGCAACCAAGGCAGCAGCTGTAGCAAAGAACCATGCTCAAGGACCAAAGACTTAACAGATAAAATTCCCAAGTAGAAGATACAGAGTAGGTTGTATAGAGCTACTATATTTGTTATACACCAGTTTACATCAAAGTGCCTGTTGCTTTCTGAAACGTTGAAGTGGAAAAAAAATATTTTATGGTTTAATGATTATTTTATTTTATCAGGGACTCAAGAAGAAAAATGAAACAACATATAAGCTTGTGAATGGTGGAGGAAATGCCCTATTTTTTTCTTGGCAAATACCTGTATAAAGTTGATACTGTTGGAGTGCTGTTATCATAGGTATGTGTGTATATATAGTGTGTGTGTACATATATATATATATATATATACACACACACTACTTTGACTATGACCTAAAATAATGTATCAAATAGGAAATGTTTAAATACTATGTTTTTTATGTTTCTGATAGGATCACATGAGACATGGGCATACTGCAATGATGAATTTAAACCCATATCTAAAGAATTAAAGAAAATGGAGGGAAATGCGTAATATATTTGATGGGAAGAGCAGAGATTATACACTTTTAGTGAGTTTTTTTTTTTCTTTTTCAGTGAACCAGAGAATTCCACAAATGGGAGGATATTTGTTTGGTAGAACACATTTTTATATTGACCTGCCATTTGGACAGTTTTATTCCCACTTAAAAATGTATATTTGCATGCCTTCAAGGTATATAACTTGTGGATAATGGATCAGTGATAGGTACTTAAATCCATAACTACTAACAAGAATTTCTGGTGATCTGACACTACTTCTTAATATTTAAATGAATTTATAAATGAATGCATTCTGCATTTCTGGACCACTAGAATTTAATAAATGTGAAATGACCCTTTTTAAAGAGTATTTGCACAACTGCATAAAGTTTATATATAAGATATATATTATATATACATTTTATAAATTTATGCCAATATGAAACATGTTTGATCTGGTTCTCACACTGCATTTAAATATTTAGTACTGTACTTTAAATTAAATCACTTTGCATTAAATCGAACCCAACTTTATTTTTCTTTTCCATGAGACCAATTATACCATTGTGAAATGGACTGTCATTACTATTTCAGTTCAGTGACAGCTAATCCTGACTCTTCTTTCCCAACCCTGTAGACACTGGTCCCTGAAACTACATTTGTAAAAACAAAACAGTGCATTAAAAACCTACCCTTTGTATCATGAACAAACCCTATAATCCCCATGAACCCTAGTGGATGACTTCTTCTGATAACTACTCTAAAGACCCAGTCAGTTCAACAGGGCCAGAGGAAGAACACAGCACCCTCATAGTAGCAATGTGATTGGCTGTTTGTTATTTGAGCATGTCTTGAATGCCCATCCCTAGGTTAGCCCAGGTTAATCTGTACAGTCTACCTTTTGAGCATCTTTATTTGAAACCTTAGGAAGAACCAGATGGGTTTGCTGCAGCAGCTGGCCTGTGAATTCCCTCCACGCTGTCTCAGCCCCCACACAGCCACTCTATTTTCTAGGGAACTCATTCTACTCCCATGTTGGCCCCATCTCCCTCCTCGCTGTCCTGGGTTTGGAAAATCAATCGCAAAGTCCCAGGAAGCATTATTGAGCTTGAAGATCAAGCCTGGCGCTCATCTTTCAGCAGCCAGAGTTCTGCCTGCTTAGCTGTTTGCAAGTTTTCTAGAAGAGAACCAGCACCGCTTGGGAGCAGAGGTTTATTTGGTGAAATGAGCTTTCTGCACATTTCCACTCTGGACACACGAGGTGTCCACTTTTTTGGAGAAGTCTGGAGATCTCTGGCTCTGCCCCAGCAGAAGCCTGCTGCTAATTTATGACACAGGTTTTTGTTTGAAGGAGCCTTATTTGAAAATATGCCTTTCAGTTATTTTTTCAATTATTTATGGTCTTTTCTTGCTTATTTCAAGGTTGGTAGCATAGTTCCAGTGCTAGCAAACAGCATTCAGCTAGAACAGTTCTCAAGGAGACTCTCAGCATTTCCTTTAAGACTTACATAATTTATTTCTATTTTGTGTGTACTATAGTCTTGTGCATATGTAGTTGAACACATAGTGGAATATATGTCTCTTTGTGGATGTGTGACCTAAAAATCTGAATGTCTGGTGAGAGAACCATGTGTACAGGTCAGAGAAAAGAACAGCTCTCCATGCCTGACCAGTGCCTGTGATTTGTTTGCATTTGTGTTTATCTGGCCTGGTGTGCTGTTACCTTGAAACAGAAAGAAGTTTTGCCTTCTGGAGGCTCTTCTCATGAGTCCAGTGTGGCATGTCAGAGAACACTTAGCTGTGACATTGCCCTTTTAAAAAGTTTACTTCATCTGCAGTAAATCCAACTGCTTCAAGAACTCCTTCACCAGGATGGACTTCAGAAATAGGACCAAACATCTGCTCACTCTGGTTATACATGGGGTCCAAACAATGCAAGGATGGGTAGAATATCCGTAATTCAAGTCAAGACAGAAATGGAATGGAACGTGGACATACTGTTTGCACTACCCCTTTCTCTTTGCTTATTGTTGGTTGCTTTAAAGTTGTTTTCAGTGCAGTGCTTGTTAAATAAATATTGTGAACTATTTTGTAAATGAAATGTATTATGTTGAAAGCTGTCAGCAGCTGTCAAAATAAGCTTTTTGTTGTTGTTGTGAAAGACAAAGTATGTTAGATGAACCCCCTCAAAAAAGAAAAAAAAGCCAAAAAACTGTTTTCATATATAGCACCTCTTTATATAATCTTTCTTTAAGATTTCTCTTAGCATAGCCATTTCAGTGCTGTGGAAGAATCTCTGTGTAACATTTGTCATCCTAATGGCTTGCTAACGAAACAAATGGTAAAAGTACAAAGTAGGAAGATGTGTCAAGTAACTCCGGGAGACTCGCTACAAAGCTTCGCAGACCGCTAGAGGCTCTGCCCTCTCGCTGTTCCTCCCAACCCCCTTCTCCTCATCCATCGCCTACTCTGACTTGTCTTATTATGAGCAAGCTGCACCTTTGGTCACTCTTGGAATGTTTTTGACGATAGGGTGTCACAGGAAGAAAAAGGAGTTGATGGAAAACGGACTCTTAAAAACTGACGTTTGTATCAGTGCTAGAGGGAACAGATTGTGAATTTTGTTTACAGCATCCAATATTTGGATTTTTGTTTTTGTAAATAAAAAGAAGTTATTTTTTTCTATCAATTTGTGTCTGTTGCCTTTGATGTGTGTACTTGATAAAGATTATGTCCTCTGAACCTGAAACTGTGCGCATTACAAAGCATGAAGCAAATGTGGAGCAGACCAGCTTTCCCAAGTCACACCAGAGTACAAGAAATAGCCCTCAGCCAGTCCAGCTCTGAATGACTCAGACAGCTTCAAAAGAATAGCTAATCCATGCCAAAAAATTGTTGCCTGAGTATAAACCTAACAGGGTTAAATAACCAAGAAGACAGAGCTGTTTTCAGTGTCAGTAGACGTTCCTGGCTCTGGACTTCAAGGTTCTGGGAGTGATGAGTGGCCCTTGGTTTTTATGAGCAACCCCCAAACTGTGATTCTATTATCAGGGTTGTATGTATATATCATTTGTTAGCAGCACAATCATGTTATTCATTAGAATGTTTAATTTGTACAAGGAATAAGTATTGGTAGCCAGGAATTGGAAGAGGAAGTAGAAAAAAGAAAAGGAGGATCAAAAGAATGTGTTTATGTGTTTTCTTCCCTTCCGTGTGTGTGTGTGTGTGTGTGTGTGTGTGTGTTGCTGTTGCTGTGTCCTCAGTGCTAATATTGCAGAGCTACCCATGTTTAGCAAGCATTAATGTAGTAGTCTCATTTCTTCAAATTACTAGGGAGTATGCATTATTTCTAGTTTTTAATGCACTTTTGAAGCTTTCTTCAAGACTACTAGAATTAGCATTTGATAAGCCCAGGTTCCTATAGGAGATACTTGTGGTGTTAAGAACCATGCAAAGTTTTGATGATGTATGGAATACATGCATGGCATGGCATCTATGAAAGAACCACTCCTGGCATTAAAAAAACAGCTTCCTTCACACATAATCATAAAACAGAAGGCAGCTATTTGGTTTAGTAATGGTATCTGTGTGTCATCTCTTTTCCTTTGTTACAACCTTCTCATTCTTCTACAGCTGGCATTTCACAGGACTTTGCTCATCACATAATTCTTTTTAAACAAAGGTTGAATAAGGATAGCACACACTAAACTCCTCCTAGACTTAGATACACCCTGCCAGTTCTAGTTGAGTTACTAGGCTGGCTCAGCTAGCCTCTCCTTTCTTTAGGGACCTCATTCTCTAAATATCCAGTTCCTTTAATAAGGAAAAAGAAACAAGGCAATTAATGCTCAAAACCAAGTACAAAAGGAATTAAACATCTAGTCTTTAAAATAATATATCAGTGGTTAAAACCGTAGTATATTTCTGAAACGAAGCCATCATTTTCTCCTTAGAATCAAGTTTGAAATCAAGGACAGGAATACCCTTCATTCTGCTGACAAGTATATTCAGACAGGAGAAAGTGAGTCGAAGTGAGTTAAATCACACTGCCTTTCACACAGCAAGACCCAAATCTTGGTTTTACAGGCTGCACTCCAATAAAAAGGAACAGAGCTCTTTGGAGAACTGGCTGATTCTAAGCCCAGGGATGGAGAAGGAAACAGACGTGAGGAAGACAGAGCACACTGTAGTTTCAGGAATGAAGGGTGCTTAAAAACTGATAAACTATGATGATGGCAAGGAACAAAGAGCTGCAGTGAACAAAGCTGGAACAACCTGAACAGCAAAATCAATACCTGGTTAGATGATAAGTAAAAGCATAAAACATCCCTGCATCCACAGTGATAAATAAATGTCTGAATGAATAATAAGTGAGGTGAAAAGGCAAATAGCCCAGTAGAATTCAAAATAATCTATGTAGATACTTCCCCTCAAGGAAGGGGAAATTAGCTCCCACCTCGGAAGTGTGGGCAGCTTTAATGCCTGCCTACCAGAGAGTGCAGTGGGGAGGAAGCACAGTATACAAGGGCAGAGCCTGATGAACCCAACCTGGGCCAGGTGATCAAGGTCAACTCCAGCAGGGCATTCTTGACACAAACCTAACCTGAGGAAAATTCTATTGCATACTAGACCAGTAACCCTTAGTCATTGCACAACAACAACAAAACTCTGAAAACCACCAAAAGCAAGAGGACCCATGAAGGAGACATGGCCCTAAAGGGCATCGAATAGAGTATTGCTGAAACAGTCATGCTTCTATACTGGTTTATCAGCTACAATGAGCTCACCACATTGATGTAGGATGACAACCACATGGGGTGCTACGTGCAGGATACATGAGGTACGTGTAGAGCTCTATATGTTTTTCACAGTTTGCCTGTAAGTCTGAAACTATTCTCCAAGTGTTCATGAACAGTGAAGACCAGGTGACCCTTCCTTACTATTCCTAAACAGTGATTTCATTTATAAAAATAATAGTGAATTTTCCTTTATAAGGGCCCTGTCCTTATCATATCAAGATAGAATGGAGAGCTGTAAGTAAAATGATATATTTTACTCAAAAATCTTAGTGTTTGCCTGTAAGTCTGAAACTATTCTCCAAGTGTTCATGAACAGTGAAGACCAGGTGACCCTTCCTTACTATTCCTAAACAGTGATTTCATTTATAAAAATAATAGTGAATTTTCCTTTATAAGGTCCCTGTCCTTATCATATCAAGATAGAATGGAGAGCTGTAAGTAAAATGATATATTTTACTCAAAAATCTTAGTGAAGCTTTACCTGGATATTTTAGGGAAAGGAATAGAGTTAAAGAAAGCTGATTCTGTAGGCAATGTTCTCCTGTAGAACAATAGGAGAAATTAACTTTTAAAAGTTGTTTAGTAATTCTTTGCCATTACACATGATATAATTGTTGCTAGAGTTAAGTCTGGTATTCAGTGGAATGTGGTAATGAATTATTATTTGATGTTGATAACCACTTCCAGATTTTTCTGCTTACTTAAGCTTATCTTTACATGCTACATGCTTTCGTGAAGTGGAGGTACACCTGTGTTTACATTTCCTTCCCAGCACAATTGGCAGTGTTTGAAATGGTTAAAAATGTACGATCCAAGGGGCTGGAGAGATGGCTCAGTGGTTGAGTGTGTACTGCTCTTATAGAGGACCCAAGATCAGTTCCCAGGATGCACATCAGGTGGCTCCAACTACCTGTAACTCCAGTACCAGGGGATCCGACACCTTTGGCCTCTGCTGGCACCTGCACTCATTTGCACATACACACATACATACACATAATTAAAAATAATAAAGATAAATATTTTTAAAAACATACTTTCGAAAAGTAGATACCCTTAGTAAGGTTTTAAAGCATTCATTCCAGCTCGGCAACTTAGGAAGCTCTTTGAGATACAGGCTTTCTTGCTTAGGGGACACAGTGCACCTGTATTGTGAGGCGGGGTATGCATGTGGGATAAGTTAGTTCTCATTTTGGCAGTGGAAAGTCCCATCAGGATCCCCTTCAGAAACTACCAATTTTCCAGCACAGTGTGTACTTATCAGTGATGCCAAGATTTTGTGGCATCATCTGGTCATGTCATTATCTGAAGAGCTATTCTTTTGGTTTTTCTTTTAACAAAAATCACCATAATGGACTGCACTAGGTTTGGTGGATAATGCTGTTCTGTGCATTCATTCATAGCTGCATATGCTGTTGGGCATTTCTGTATCTCTTCAAACAAGGTCAAGGTCACATGGTTTATGTGGTTTTCATTTTAAATGAGGACATTTAAAACTATCAGAATAGTTTAATATTATTCTAGGAATCCAGTCATCAGAGAAAAGAAGAGAAACAAATTCAGTCAGGTTTAAGGCATAAAGTCAGTATTATCAGATTTGGTAAATAAAGATATAGAATGCCCTATATTTAATCTTAATGAACTTCATACAAATAGAGATCTTTTACCAAAAATATACTGTGCAACATTTTGTTCATACTTATATTGAAAACACATTTGCACATATCTGAAAGTCCAATTTGATTGGGAGTTCTGTATTTTATGAGGCAAGCTGAAAGTCTATTTAAGCTCACAAAATATGAGACACAAATTTTCCTATAGTTTGAGTGAAGATCATTTTGCAGTTTTGTTAATATCTAACGTTTATGTACCATTCAGTACTCCATGAGCAGAACGCTGCTTAAGAAGAGTTTATTGGGTTTACAGTTTAAGAAGGGATCTACTTCATGAGGGTAGGGAAGGCATGAGGTCAGGATCATGGGGTCACATTATATTCATAATCAGGAAGAAAAAAGTAGAAAGGAAATGGGAGAGGGCTAGAAAACCTTAAGGCTCATCCACTTCCTCAAGTAAGGCTCTGCTTCCTAAAAGTTCCACAACCTTCCCCAAACAGTGCCACCACCTGGAGACCATGCTCAAACACAAGAGCCTATAACCATTTCACGTTCACATCAAGCGACATTCTTTGAATAATGTGTTTTTCGCATAAGATAAACAAGTTTTGGAGACCTAATACAGTCTAGAAATGAAAGTTTTGTATTAGATTCTTAAGTTTGCTGAAATCTGAAGTATTGTCATCATACTCACATAGAGAAAAGGGTAAGTAGCTGAGGTGTGCGTATGTCAGTTAAGCTTGATTGTGGCAGTTACTTCACAGTGCATACATATATAAAGATAACATTATATACCTTGAGCACATGCAAACTTATTTGTCAGTTAGGCCTCAATAAAGCTGGGGCAAAGAGAGTTGAAAGGCCTAGCCCTCTTTCGAAGGCTAGGTTCCACTTCTAAGGGGAATCATTTGCTGAAAATTAATTTTTTCAGATACCTTGGGGTTAAGTACTCACGAGGCTCACCTCTGCATGGTGCGTTATAAGGAAGCCCATGGACTAGGGGGAATCGGGATGAAGGTACTAGCCCTTGAAATGTCCTTATTGGGAGCTTTCAGAGGTATACTTCCCCACAGGTAACCCCTACCCCCCCTACAAAACCCCCCAAAAACAAACAAACAAACAAAAAAACATTGGCTATTTGCTGGTTTGCTGCAAAAGATCAGCTCAGATGTTTGGGGATTTTTGCTGAAGTTCTAAGACTATGAGTCCTTGCAACCCCCTTTCCTAAAAGCAACAGATATCTTAAGGCCTTAACTAGAATGCACCTTGAAATTTC